GACGCCCATTGAACTCGATTGAACGCCGCCCCGTCTATACTTTCCTTCAACCCCTGAGCCGAGCCAGAACACTCCTTTGACATACCTCAGCGGTTTCGCCGCCACTGAAGCTGCCGCCCCCTACTTCGGCTTGCTTCTCTGTCCCACCACATCCGGTTGAGCAGCACGCCGCCTCCGATATGAGATAGACGTCCTGTCACTCCACTTTTCTTTGACCACTGCACCGAACTGATACATACCTTCGTTATGCCTTAGTAGACTCGCTGGCACTGGAGGCTTACTTCTCTCTACCGAAGTCTGCTTGCACAATATACCGCCTCTGATATTGAACGAACGCTCTCATGGATTGAACCGTTTCATTGAAGGAAGAATAATGCTAACATATGTCTTGATAGTGCCTGCCATATATAATATCCTCGCCGGGGCCGCTGTGACCATCCATGTAAGACAACTTCATATTTTGGACTCTCACGCAAACATGCATATCCACGCAAGAGTTGTGCTAACAAAGGTCCAAGTCCTATGAAGGAGTCCGCGGGAGCGGGGCGGGGCGAGGAGGGAGAGGTGGTAGGGGCGGGAGAGGGGGGCGGGGCGGGGCGGGGGGTGGGGCGGGAGCTGATGGCTCCTACGTCGTCCATGCTTCGAATGCAAGTTCTCTATTGCCGGAAATGCTAAGGTGATTCGCGTCCATGCTAATAACCGAGTTATAGCTAAAATACTCTCTCACTCGAGAGAAGATAGTTGACTTCTTCAAACCCCACGGTATGTTAAACACTTCCATTTCACTCGTTACTAGAAGACGAGGTCGCGTGTTCATGTTCTTAAACCAAAGTTAACACTAAATAGCCACCCGTGGGGCGGTTCGCGCGGTGCTGCTCGGCCGCGGCAAGGCGTCCATTATGTACGATAGTTTAGGAGATGCCCGTGCTGCCCTCGCCCTCCAGGGCTCGAACCTGGAGGGGTTCGAGATGGGCCTCCGCGCCGCTAACTTCCGTAAGCAAAATTTCTTTTCCTACTACACACCAGGCATCACTTTCATCCCCACATAAATACCTAGGTGTCGATGCCTCAGAAGTCAGATGTTCGTAAATGTTTACTAATATTCGTGAAAAGCCGCTGTCGCGCCCGCGCCCGCTGTCGTCGCCGCCAAGGCGGCCACCGCCGCAGAGCACTCGGCGGAGCGCGCTCGTCGCGCTCAAGAGGAGGCCGAAGGGCTCGCCGCCGCCGCCGCCACCACCGCCCGGGCCGCCGAGGAGAAGGAGAAAGAGAAGGAGGGGAGTAAGTTGAAGAAACTTCCTATTAGATGCTCAAATTAATATATCTTATAGGCGACAGCAGTGTGAGAGACTCCAATTTGTAGTATAGTTTTAGCAACCCCTTGCGTTCGTTCGATTGATCTGTGTTCTGTGTTCTGTGCTCTATATGACGTTGTGATCGACCCTTTCTACACAGGATGAGATATACTATGCGCAGCTACTAAAACAGTATAGAGCTACATCATGGTGCGATCCCATCTCCGTCCTCCTCACTACAAGATGCTTTTACTCCGTTCACGCCGTGTCTCAAAACCTCAGAAGAGTTGAACTCAGATCAATCGTGATAGATCTCGGTCGTTAGATAGTAGGTAACAAAGGACAATTGCTTGGGCTTCGTGTATCAGCGCTCTGCTATTTTCACTCATCATTCCATCAAGTTCAAGTCAGCATACTCACGGATTTTGTCGGTAACTATTCAACCACAAGTCACGTGTATTACAATACATGGTGATCCTGGTGAGAGCACCCAGCACTTGCCACGTCACTCTCCCAGTCCTTTGTAGATACACTTCGATAGCCCCTCCTTTGGAGAACAATCAAGACAACCAACACGAATCCAAAGACATCAGAGGCTCCACTGTCCACCATCGACAGCGGCGAGCTTTGTGTCAAGTGATTCGCGTGTGTCTAGCTATATCTACTTCTATGCATAGAAAGGTTTCCCGACAGATTTAGATATGTGAGCGTTCTAGTCAATTTCCTACATGAGCGCGCAGAGGCCGACCTGCTCGCTATTCAGGACGAACCACGTAATCACGGCTCTAGTAGCACACACTTTGACTTTCCGCATGGAAGTGGCAAACCTCTCCCGCTCATTGTCATGTTCGCTGGGGGGAACTAAGTATGAGAAGCTGGAAGCAAACTTCTCGTCGACTTTCTACTCGGCGCTGTTGAGATACTGATTCCTGTTGCTGGACCTGATTTCTTGAGGGCTCTAGATGCGCCGGTGCCCGGCAGCCCTCGTTGCTGGTACGGTTTTTAGCCATCTGTGGAATTGAATTAATTGGGCTGGGAAGGTGTCTGGCTGAATGATGAAGCAACAAAATGGGAGATATGGGAAACATGATGGAGGAATGTGTTCGAAAAGGTCATCTGGAATCGAGCATGTATGGTTGGGTGTGTACCTGTTAGCTTTCAGGTTGGAGTGTTGCGTACTTTGACTGACCACTTTGAAGTATATAGTAATGTTAATGACAATATTCTTGCTCCTTGCTTATTCTGTAGTTGCGGTCGCAATGAGAGCAAAACTTTTCAGTTGATGACTCTGAGCAAATACTTTGAGCTTAAAGCCCTAAGTAATCGTGGCGTGTGGCCGGAGGAAGAAAAAGCATCCCGTGAGACGTTGAAGGAAGACATGGGAGTCAAAACATGCTTGAGTGGTTTGAATATCAGACATGGGGATTATGTAACAACTTTGACGCCTGCAAAAGAATCAAAAACATGTCGGGAACGTCCTGGACTAACTTGCGAGATTATCCTGGCATTTCCAGAACCTCCGTTCACCATCTTTTGCGTCTGCTGGCGAGGGCTCAGGGTGTGTCGGAGGCTTTTGGGGTGATAATTGCCAAGCTCCGAGGATACTGCGTGATCACGTTGGAAGTGCAATAACGCAGTGAAAAGGGCAAGATCTTTGAGAGACCAAAGATGTGAAGATTGTGATGTGTAGTGTGATCTGTCTAGGAGTGCCAAATGCCGGAGATGGAATATATGCTCCAGATCACATGATGCCTGACTAAGCAGTCACGTGATTAGTCTCTGACAGGGTGTCTTCATGCAAACACACAATTACCTTATCCGTACCCTATCCCGGCACGCCCGGGAAATCTACCCACCCTGGCCCGTGCAGGACTGCATCATGCACGTTGCGCCGATCCGATCGCGCTAAAGTCTGGGGTGCATGCCACCGCAGGCCTGGACTCTAACGGGCAGTATGCTCAAGCGCAATTGGATAGGACACCAAATTATGTACCTGAACTAGGTACTTCAAGCCGTTCCTTTTCAGCATAGTCATAGCGACCGGACCTTGAAGAGCTACAAAAGTCTTTTTAGATGCATGAAAGGGGTTTGCTGAATTCATGCCGTGCAGGTCTTATGTAACAGTATCGGGCCCTTAGGCGTCTGTAAGTACACAATAGCCGCATGAACTTGTGAAACAGTGTTGAATGCTGAATGATGATCATATAAACCTCATCTTCCAACAGAAGCCCAGGCCCAATTCCGATTCAAAAGAAAGGGAACAAGCTAGATGTATTAAAACGATTGGCGAGGTCGCTGTGGTGGAAAGATTCATTACACACTCCTTAAGCATCGCCATCTCTGCGCAGGAAGATTGGGGAGACCGGGCCATATTAAGGCTGGATTCGAAATAACTTTCCACAAGCTCCGGTCTCAATCTTTATGATAACACTTTATGTAAATAATAAAGATGAGTAAGGTATGGAAGGGGTGCAGGAAAGCTTCGCAATTAGATTTCTCCCCATTATGCGCTCTTTCGGCTCTTTGCGTCGATCACATCATAGGAATAAGACCTTGATACTGTTTGCTTGAGTGGCTGCTTTCAAGAAAATATAGTCGATAAGTACTAATATACTCTCACATACCAGCCATTCGTGAGAGTTCGGTTAGAGGATGGCCTGTTGGGTGGTCTCCGGAGGCCTTCAGGGCAACTATTTTCATTGAAGTGGGCCTCTTCCCACGAGTTTCCCGTAAGGACATACACCCTGACTTAGGAAGAGACAGACACCTCTCCTGCATAAATTGAATCAAGTTCTGCTTAGACGGAACCCTAGTCAAGCGTTCAAAAATCTCAACTCCTGGATTGCTTCGAGGGCCTGCTTAATTTGCACAATTGAGTTCGAGATGGGGTGCTTTGTGAGTACGATATTTCATCAGTCCCGGTGGCTAAGTAAGTAGCCTTTAGCAGTTGCAATGAATGGGGTCTTATTGATGAGTATCGGCAACTAGTCAAATGACCAACTGGTCAACTGGTTCAACATACTCCACGGGATCATGGCGGAGCCCCATGCTACTTATGAAACGAGGGAGCAAAGATCTGACCCGGGAGCGGTCCTGGGGCTTGCGAGAATAAGTGTCCTAGCCCACTGGTAGCAGGATAAGTTCCCCGGTTTTTGCGAATCGAAATTGAGCTTGCAATTTGGTGAAGTTGCGGAGGTGTTGAGTCTATCATACCTACTGCGCCATGCTTGGCCTTGGTGGTGTCCACCACAGGCCAATAATTTGTGCGTGATGTGATAAAATCCCAAAAAGATCGGCATCCTGCAGGATCCATTCTCAGGATTTCGTCGCGTCGTTTACCCTAAACGCTTTTCGAATCACAGCGATTAAATGCCGAGTAGGTTGGGACCGTCGGGTACTTGGGAAGGTCAGTACTTACGGTAGAGTACTGTACCTGGTACTGGTACCAGTAGTACCTACCTAGGTAGCTGGTCCGCTGTAGATTATTTGGGTACCTAGCTAGCATGCAATACCTGGTAGGCTCTGAAGTCCATTCCTGGAGGTTCTCACAAAGAGGTAATCATGTAAGTAGGTAGGTAGTAACGTTGATGTTGATCCAATCAGGCGGACTTAGCTTTCGCTTAAATCCCTGCCACCCGCAGCTGGTAGTGCAGTTGAGCTTAATCACTGCATTGATAATTTGACAAAATTGACAGCCAGTTATCGAATGGTGAGATGGCCGAGTTGGTTATGGCGCCAGGTTAAGGTGTACCTTAACGCATTTCCTGGTCCGGAAACGGGCATGGGTTCGAGTCCCATTCTCATCAGCTACTTCTTTTTTGTTTTTTTCTTGGTCTCATATTAATTTATTTTTTTGCATTTTGAATCGATTGAGCCAAGTTAGAAGTTGTTTGGATCATGTTTGGTGGAGTTGTAGACGTTCAAATATTTCATCGGGCTGGGAATTGCGGCAGGGCGGGACTGGGTGACTCGGCGCCGGCGAATCTTAGCTCCGACCCACCCCAACATCCTTCTCCTTAGGTAACACTTCCACCTTCACCACCGGCCTTGTAAATTGTGCAACATCTACATATTTATGTAGTATGTTCTCAATTTTGATAAATCAGGCACATTCGTTTAATCTCGCTTTCTGAACGAATGGTTATATTGCTGAGCGGAAGTTATTGCATCGCATCTATATACTCTCGCGGCTTCATGTCCCTTCTCCGAGCCATTATTGGAAATCTCCCAATTCAGTCAAAGACGTTCTTTCTGAAAAATTTCGGGTAAATTTCCAGTACCTCTCGTCGGTTTTATTCTTAGAGAATAACGTTGAATCTTGTAGTAGTCCGTCACATTTTCAACTCCACTCTCATCAGTTCTTTTGCTTTTTGCGCAATTTATTCATGATCTTCTTTGCATTCTGAATCGATTGAGCTAGGTTAGAAGTCGTTTGGACCATTATTGGTGGAGTTGTGGATGTTCAAAGATTTCGGGTTGGGGTTGGGATTGGCTGGCGAGGCGGGCTGCGGTGTCGGGCCGAGTCAGGGGGGTCGGCGTCGGCGAATCTTGACTCCGACCCCCAAATATAAGTCAAGTCTTCACCATCACTTGCAGCTTCGCCATCAACCTCGAAAGTCATGCACCGTCTACATTCCTAACTACCTGGTCGATATCTATGTTCTCATGTCTCAAAGCTTGGAGAAATACGTCATTATCTTCTTTCTTCCTGTGCGGGTATCTCGTTCCTCGAACCAATTTACATTGCAGGAATGTCGCGACGCAACATTCGCGCATCGCATCTTCAACTTCTCGCAGAGCCATTTCCCATCACCAAACCATTCTCGAAGCTCTTCCAATCAAAATAAGGATTGTTCTGGAGGACATCGGGAGCGCTTCAAGAGCCTACCTTCGGTTTTATTTACTGTACTCCGTACATATTACTAGATCTCGCCGAAGACGTCAACATTTTCGATTCATCATCAGGACATGTCCTTCACATCTTCGTGGTTTTATTCATAACTTGTTCCTGCCCACTCCCCAGCGCAAACAACAGAGTAAGAGGGCGTCATCGCCGGCTGGATGGGTCCCGAGCTAACTGTCCACTATGAAGAATAAAAGTTGTCAAGGGGATTTGTCGAGGTCGTTGTCTGCTTTGAGTTACGATCGAGTCTTCAGAGCATCAGATCGCATCTTCTCGCAGTCACATGTCACACGTCCCGAGTCCAAATCATCTTTGAAGCTCCCGCAGCTGACCGCATTTAGATCTTTGCTTTGAGCAACTGCTTCTCGATTTCTTTCGATGATGCCTGTGGAAGTCAGTGTGTCCCTCAAGCAAGCAATCTGCTTGCTTGACCAGAGGTTTGACTAGGCTTAAATAATCTTGAGGCTTACTTGACTAAAATTGATCAACCCGGAAGCTTGCTTGACTAGGCTTGACCAAGTTTATACCTCTAAGAGTGTACAAAAATCGGCCGTCTAAGCTCTAACATTTCCTTTGATTTCCATTTTGTTTTTGTTTTAGAACATTTAACCGAATTTTTGTAAATAGATCACCATTTCCTTTTCTTCTTTCGATATCTACCCCAGTCTTCGAGCTGAATATTGAGGAGTCTACTTACTCGACCTGAGGCTTAACCTGAGCTTGACCAATCTCGAGGCTTGCTTGACGAAGTCATCTTGGTGAAGTAAGCCTTAGATCCATCAAGCGGCTTGCTTGGTGGACGGTCTGGTGGAAGTTGCTCCACATTTCCCACGATCGGTTGGACCTTCGATCTGGACCTGGACCTTCGATCTGGTCCTGGACCTTCAATCTGGATCTGTACCTTCGATCCCGATCCGGATCCGGAGCTTGGATCTGGACCTGGGGATTGGATCAGATATAATGTGTGGCATCGGGCTTTGGGCTGAACTTACAGTTGGGCTCGGGGCGAGGCAGGGATGGGCCACATGTAATGCAGGAAAGTAAATGATTGTGTCCATTCAGATCTCTCATCACAACCGCATCAGCTTGCTCGTCTCTTCTATCTCTTATGATGCTCCCTCTCGACGACAAGACTCGCTCATGCTTGCCGGATACAAGGTCCCCTAGCTCTAGCATCGGAGACCTTTCTGCTACTGATCTTCTCTATCTTTGCGAATTGTGTGCTCCCGCAGAATCTGTCTCAACGACACAGGGCGAATGACCGAATTTGACAGTCCCAACAGACGAATGGCGTCGCCGTGAGACCGGATGGGAGGATCCGCAGCTACCAGCTTTCCATCAGCAACACAAGCTCCACCACCATGTCTCGAGGCCACAGCATCCCAGGCCTCGATCACAGGATCCCGCAGCGTCATCTCCCATGTCCCCTTCCACTCGATCGCAGCAGGCCTTCGTAGCCGAGCTCGCCGGTATTTGACGAGCATCGCCAGTTCCTCCAGTCCATTCCACAGTTCCATGGTCTCAAGATTCGGCATCTCCATAGCTGTCGCCACGGCCGCCTGGAGCATGTCATCTAGCTTCGTCGGGTTTTCCCCCGACCTAAGCAGCCTTGAAGTCAGCGCAAGCGACTTCAAATCAGCCACTTCCAGTACCGCTCCCGGGTCTCTTCGAAGAAGTCAACAGCATCCACTAAGAAAGAACGACGCCGAGAGACTGTCGAGGTCGAGACTGGCTTTGTCGAGTGCCCGACCCATTGAAGCGGAGGTTATGCGCAGAGGATCGCAGCCCAATCCTATAAAACTAGCGGGGTATGCTTCGTTGAAATTCTCGAATAGAACGAGTTTCCGTAGTCGAGTGAAAGTGGGTGCTTCTAAGAGGGTTTGTAGCGCTGCAATGGTTTAAATATCAGCATGGTATCAGCACGGACGGGGGTACAACAAGCATCAAGGAAGGATTAAAGAATGTCCCTGTAAGCTACGGGAACTCACCTTTGTCTGTCCACCGTTGCAGAATATCTATCCATTCCCTCCAAGGCTCGTAGTGGATCTCTCGGAGCCCAGGCATGCGGGCGAACATCTGCACCAACGCATCCGGCTTCCATCGTCGGCGAGTCTGCTGGCGTAGAAGCACTCCTGTGACTGCCGGAACCAACGGTAATTGTTGCCACCATCGGCGTTCTTGTTCATCGTCATCGAAGGGGCTCTCGCCCATGATTTCTTCAAAAACCTTGTTGATGGCCGCGCGAGACTGACGGGCACCCGCACTCAGTCCCTGGTAGTTTTCACAGGGGTTGGATAGCATCGGTCGCTCTGCTAGACGATGTTCATCGCATGTATCGGATGTAGTGTCCGACTCAAAAGTGAGGTAGTTGAACCTGTGCTGTGAATCGCTGGGGGAATACACGCTGATATCTAGCGTCAATTCGCCGCCTGGCTGCCATGCGCTCAGAATGGAGAAGAGATTCTCGAAGCCTTTGACGATAAGCGAATTGTCCATCTCACTAAGGCCCCGCGACTCTGGATCTTGAGGTTCGCAACCAGTACAATCATACTCTTCAAGTTCCAAGCAAAACAAGATGTATCGTACGAGCCTCCTATTACGATGGATCATCGCTCCGAACTCCGGGAGACGCGACGGTGTTAGCTTGATGCGAGAGAAATTTTGCTGCTCGATGACTGTCTGCCATTCTCGTGACACGGTTGCAATGCTTGCAAGGTTACAGCTGTCATAAATCACGGTCTCCAAAACCATTAGACGAATCTCTGCGAGGATCCGATTCCAGGATGTCATGATGGCTAGGACTAGTGATATGGGCGTTGTTAAGGTGGACCTTAGAGAGGGCAAAGGGCGGGCAGTAGATTGCGTGTGGTAGAATTGTAGTGCTAAGCATACCTACTTATACAAGCCTCGACGGATGATTTAGCATTTTAGACCCTTGAGCTTTAAGCCAGGTGTCCTGCAGTCGGATCTGTTTAATCGGCTTACGGTTCCTATTGTCTACGGTTTAGCAAGCACTTCTACTACTCTTTTTATAGCTCAGCGCTTAAATTTCCCGGAAAAACGTCTGCCTAAGGGCTTAAAGTAGCTGTAACGACCTTAGGGGCTATATACGGAGGAGGAGAACGGTTGGTAGACAACCTCAGGGGTTATACATGGAGGTCAAAAACGGCTGGTAGATAGTCTGTAGACAGTTACGCATTCAACAATATTGTAAAAGCCTCAGGAATCAGTCAATGGTTGTGGATTCTTATGATTGTTAAGCAAGAACGGTTGTCAGACGGTTATTAGGCAATAAGTTGTTAGACGGTTGTAGACAGAGCAGGCTCCCCTCCTTAGCGTAGCCTATCTCTTCAGGTACATACCTTCAAAAGCAGCCGGACCTGAGAGGTTGGCTTCCTCAGTGGTACTCTAAAAGGCTGGTTAGGCCTACAGCATATAGACTTTTCACAACCACTTAAATGATACAAGACTAGATTCAGCATGAGTTTGGGAAGAAATATCAATACATGCACTTCCACAGTTGGCAGATCTGGCGTGTGAGAGATACTTTTTCTTCATTACTTCCACCTTTCCTCGACAATGAACTCAGTTTGCCTCTCGAGAGGATAAGTGCGTATTGAGCAATTTTACTGCTAAGAGCCAAAGCAACTTTAAGTGGCAAATCAGAATGGAAATGTTTGTCCAATGGTGATAGTGTAAGACATCAAACGTGTACCAAAGCAAGCTGAGGTTCCTGCAGTTGGTGCAGTCCAATCACCCCACATCTCTTTATGCTTCGAATTCTTTGTTTCTTGATATATAATAATGTCTGTCATTCCATGAAATAGCCATGTGATCACCATCTCAGGAAGCCCCCTTTACCGTGCGAAGTGAACTTTCGTTTGCCTTCGCAGTGCTTATGGC